TAAGAAATATTAAGGTTTGAGTGAGAGGTCTAACTGGTGTCTTCAAGCGGCCCACACACCTCTCCAAACTGTGCTCAGTTCCTAAGTAACTTCAACGCACTTTTATGACTGTAGGAAAGAGCCTGCTACTATAAGGTTATTTTCTGAGCTCTCCTCCTAGCTTTGCCATTGAGGAACTGAAGCAAGGTTTTTTTTTTGGAACACAGCCCTGCATTCCCACCGTCACACAATTACTGTTGGTGTTTTTGCAATTCAAAAAAGTTCCATAAAGTTTTAAAATATGATCTTCCAGTGTTAGGCTTTCAAAAGGCACTTCAGACCAACAGATTGTAATTTTTCTGCGCATAGAATGGAGTCATGAATGCATTCAAGTGCGTGTACCACGGCTAACTTACTTTGCAATAAGACTCATTGTGTTCAGGACAACCCAGGGTATAACACGTCATCCTTGTAACGGTGGATCAAACATTGTCATCATAAACGTTGATACTCTAAATTACATGAGGTTTCAAATATGGAAATGTGAAATGTGTACATTTGGACTCATGGGTATGTGGTTCTCTTGTATGACATCAAAGTGGTATTTATTACAATTCTCAAAGTCTCATCTTTCGACAACTCTCGATTTACAGCATTTCCCTCACTTTACAGCATTTCCCTCACTTTACAACACGTCCCTCACTCAGATAACAACAAATGTGCAAAACTAGCCAATCAGCGGGAGGGATGGGGGCATCTTCTTGTCGCGCCTGGTGTTCAAGTTCATAACGACTGTCAGTCAGAAACCATACAGCGCTGTGAACCGGAGAACCTGAGCTCTGACGTCATGTATAGCATGTTACTGTACAGCCCCTGGGTCCCAATTTAGGCGCTTATCAATGACCAAATCTGCCTTTTTCAACCCCTATACGGGATGACAGGCGCTGTGAGTGGAAAGGGCTACAATGACATGTCATGTGGGAATAATTTGTGTTTCAACACAGCTATTAGTTTGTCACTGAGGATGCAACTTTACCAAAATGTGGAAGTATGTGATCGGGACCATTGGGGAGTGTGTGCGCACTGGCACAGGGTCTCTTCACTCTTGTAACACCGAGCAGGCGCAGCACATTTATCTCACCAATAGAGAAAGTGCAGCAGGCCCACTCTCTCGCTCTCTCGCGCTCATTTGAAGTGGGAGACACGCAATTATGGCTGCATGGGAATCCCTTACAAAAAAAACACATGAAAAATGTCATGTCAAATAAATTAAAACATTACAATTTTCATGAGTCAGATGTGGTTTTTGGACACATGAAGTTTCACATGTTTAGTTTTCACCACGTTCGGCTACATCTGGTCTCCCATCCAGGGACTGACCAGGACCAACCCTGCTTAGCTTCAGAGGCAAACCAGCAGTGGAATGCAGGGTGGTATGTTGCTGGAATGAAAACTTGCAACTGGAAAAAATGCAGCGAAAGCAAAGGCCAGGTTAACATAGTAATTCTATTTAATCACGTTATCATTTAAAAAAATTCACAGAAACATTTCCATATATTACAAAACTATATTTTGTTGTGCTATTAATAAAAATAATATGTTTGTAATACTAAGAATTTGTTCTCAACTTCAGAAGTTTTGCTTGATATTAATGAAACAACATTTAAGTAACTAACTCACTAGAGCAGGGGTGTCAAACTCATTCCATAGAGGGCCGAGTGGCTGCTGGCTTTTGGTTTTTCCTTTCAATTAAGACCTAGACAACCAGTTGAGGGGAGTTCCTTACTTATTAGTGACCTACATTCATCAATCAAGTACAAGGTAACAATCACATGTGGATGTTTTTCACATATGAAACTGCACATGTTATTTTCACATTTAAAGGTTTTTCACATGTGAAAATGCAATTCCACATGTGAAAGTGAGATTTTCACAATTGCAGTTCTTACATGTGAACCTGCAAATTTGATTTTAACATGTGAACTCTAAATGTAATCAGTGGTGTGTATTGATGGATGCCAAGGGAAGCTAGGGTTCCCCAAATATTTGACCAATAAAAATGATCAAATAATTTTTCATAATTTTCTGTCAATTTGCAACTGGCTGAATCTCACCAGAGAAATCATCAGAGCGAGGGAAACAGCGCCCCTCTGTCTCAGTATGTGTAGCCCATGTTTCTGATGCTGTCTGGACCAAAAGAGTATGACATGTTGCAGCCATAGCATTTGATTGATTGATGCCAGCAAGCATTGGCCTCTCTTGATAAATGTTTTTATAAAATAATTAGCCAATCAGCGTTGAGCTGAGCTCAACTGTGGGTTGTCCTGGTGCAGCAAAATGCCTCCCAATAGAGGCCAGTTTGGATTTGGCTTCACACCAATCAATCACATACTAAGCAAAACGTCATTTTCAGAAAAACATGTCTGTTTGTGGTGTACTTGTGTTGATGTTGTGCAGTAGCTTGCTTGCTAAATCTGAGCTTTCCTAAGCCATGGATGAAGATGGGAATTGACTTGTGGTTTTGACTTAATTCTCTGTACAGGCCAATGATTATGACGGCGATTCTGATCTAACCATGAATGTATATATTGTGCCACCGACCTGAGACGATTGAAGCCTAGTATGTTCACATTAACTAGCTAGCTAACTTAGCTGGTTCATTGTTGCCCATGTGAGGAAGTCAGGCTAGTAAGCATTTTAGCTAGGTAGCCTATGACAACAAAAACTAAAAGCGTACTGTTTGACAGAGCCATAGACCATTTCGTCAACATGAAAGAGAGGAGGATGGCATTGACGTTCAACTAGGAAGGTTAGTCAAAACAAAACAAAAAGACACACACACACATAAATCAGTCCCATGGATAGCCACATGATATTTAGCATCATTGATTGGACTAAACTGTTTTTGGCAACTTTAAGTTTGTTTTCCTTGTATTAAACTAAGCATACAGTTGAAGTCGGAAGTTTACATACACTTAGGTTGGAGTCATTAAAACTCGTTTTTCAACCACTCCACAAATGTCTTGTTAACAAACTATAGTTTTGGCAAGTCGGTTAGGACATCTACTTTGTGCATGACACAAGTAATTTTTCCAACAATTGTTTACAGACAGATTATTTCACTTATAATTCACTGTATCACAATTCCACTGGGTCAGAAGTTTACATACACTAAGTTGACTGTTGACTATAAACAGCTTGGAGAATTCCACAAAATGATGTCATGGCTTTAGAAGCTTCTGATAGGCTAATTGACATCATTTTAGTCAATTGGAGGTGTACCTGTGGATGTATTTCAAGGCCTACCTTCAAACTCAGTGCCTCTTTCATTGACATCATGGGAAAATCAAAAGAAATCAGACAAGACCTCAGAAAAAAAATGGTAGACCTCCACAAGTCAGTTACACCAGCTCTGTGGGCAGAACTGAAAAAGCGTGTGCGAGCAAGGAGGCCTACAAACCTGACTCAGTTACACCAGCTCTGTCAGGAGGAATGGGCCAAAATTCACCCAATTTATTTTGGGAAGCTTGTGGAAGGCTACCCGAAACGTTTGACCCAAGTTAAACAATTTAAAGGCAGTGCTACCAAATACTAATTGAGTGTATGTAAACTTCTGACCCACAGGGAATGTGATGAAAGAAATAAAAGCTGAAATAAATCATTCTCTCTACTATCATTCTGTCATTTCACATTCTTAAAATAAAGTGGTGATCCTAACTGACCTAAGACAGGGAATTGGTACTAGGATTAAATGTCAAGAATTTGAAAAACTGAGTTTAAATGTATTTGGCTAAGGTGTATGTACATTTCCGACTTCAACTATATATAGCCTTGTTGATTTGATGATGTTTAAATGTTTAAGTTGAAATGGTGCTGGAATAGTGGAGGCAGTGGTCCTGTTGTCTTTCTGCTGACGTGTAACTCTGTGGTTCTAAATCAGTAGTTTAGTAAACTGTCGAAAACATGAACTTGCTTGACCATGCTGCAGGACATATATATTTTTCGATGAAACAAACACGTGTAGTTGAATTTATTATTGTCTTTGTTGTCACAGTATTCTTGTTTATCACGGTGGCGTATGAATGAATGAGTTATAGAGCAAACAAACGCAATTATCACAACATATGTTGTAATATGCCTTTTTTTACTGGCTAGGCTTGGCTTCCTCAATGATTTTATCCACGCACCGCTACTGAATTTAATACATGTGAAAAAATGGTTTCATGTGTAAAATGTAAGCTCAACATGTGAAAACAGCGTTTTGTGTTTTTTTGTAAGGGATGATCAGCTTGAAACAAATACATTGAGAATTGGGTGAAGACGGCCAGAGGGACCTTTCATTGTGATGGAGTAAAGTCAATGACTGGCCTCTGTTTTAAGAGGTCTGTTCCTGATAAAGAAAACATGATTGGTATTTACACATGTTGTGTATGGGTCGTCTCTCAATATGCCTCCATAAATACTGTACCTCTCTACAAGACTACACAGACAAAGAGCTGAGAAACGCTCAGTCTGAAATAAAATTGCACTGAACAACTCAGCTCCTAATCTGCAATTACCATATTTTCCATCTGATTAACTCATAACATAAATGCACACTTATTGTTGATTGCTGAAAGCATTGGGATAAGCTAAATTATCCTATCAAGAAGTTGATTACAAAATGTATTGATGTGAAGCACGAGAGGTACTTTGGCAATCTATGCTTCTGTCTCTTTCTGATGCTATAGGGTGTGGATGATTACCACGGGGTTATAGCATAATAAAATCTCAACGTTGTTTCATTTACAGTTAATCTACAGTGCTGTGCTCCATTTCCAATCCACAAACAGAAAGTCCTCCACAAGACCAAGCTCATTTTATCATTCACATGGGCCATCACATCCAGCCAGCCAGAGGTACAGTACCATTGCTCTAGATGTGAGTCACCTATTGGCCAGACTCATTCCAGAGTTGTCCCTTCATTAGACCTGTAATGGTGTGATGGATAGTGGGAGAGAGAGAGAGGGTTTGACTTACGAGAGGCTGTTCTCCAGCCGCCCGCCAGTGGATCCAATGATCTCCCCCAGAGTGCAGAAAGTCTGACCCAGGAAGTCCTGGTGGAGAGAGCCTGGGGTCAGTCTTATGACCCGTCTGATCAGGGTTGCTGTCAATTCCATTTCAATTCATGAAGTAAACCAAATTCCAATTCCACATTTTCCTAATTGAAAAGCATAGAAGAGAATTTGAATTTTAGTTAGAATTTCAGTGTACTTCCTAAATTTAAATGGAATCGACCCCAACCCTGTTTGTAACAGCAAGGCAGTTCACAGTAGTACAGGTACATGCAGTGCTTTCAGACGTAATACAGCCAGGACATCCCACATGCCAGATTGAAACCTAAGTTATTCAAAGTGGCTGAAGACATTTGGAGCCATTATGACAATGAAAACTATACATTTTATAATCTGGATTTACAGATTGTTATCAAAAAGGTTAAAAGAACAAGTTCACTTGTTTTTTTAACCAAATCTCTATTTTTTATGTAAATAGAATCATATAGAGGTGTCCAGACACATTTTCTGCAATTTCACTGAGAAACGTACCAGCGATAGACTTCCTCTGGATCATTCTGCAGTATCGGGGCAGTGATAAAACATTAACAAAAGCTTCAAATATGTCCTTTTAGAAAGGGCAAACTCTCAGTGTAGTGATGCAGGTCTTTAGATGTTGTACACATTAAAATTGTGTCATTCCGAACTTTATCCACAATGTTATATTCCATTTTGTTGGACTGGAGCGGTACTTTTTCGTGTGCGAGCATGTGCCTGCTTTCTCGTTCCTATTGTGCTGATAGAAAGCATGCGTATGCTCGTTGTGGATAAAGTTCGGTGTTTTTGGAGCCTTTGTTAATGTTTTATCACTCTCCCGATACTGCAGAACGAGCCTGAGGAAGTATATGGCTGGTACGTTTCTCACAACTAAGTGAAATCGCAAAAAGTGTCTGGACACTTCTATAACATGCCATATACATCAAAAATAGAGATTTGGTAAAAAAAAAAAAAGCATACTTGTCCATTCAAATATTTATATATCAGGTGTATCCTCATAAACCCGATACATCTCGTTGTCCAAAGTGTTTTTTAACAAACTGCCATTTCAAGCTGGGGTTACATCTGCCCACACAACTCAGAGAAACAGATGGGGACATTGAGAAGCACAGACATGGCAAGGCACATAAAGACACTGGCACAAGGACAACAACAGAGCTCTGTGTGGGAGTTCTCTCACTGACACACTACATCAGGGTTCTCCAACCCTGTTCCAGGAGAGCTACCGTCCTGTAGGTTCACTCCAACCCTGTTCCAGGAGAGCTACCGTCCTGTAGGTTCACTCCAACCCTGTTCCTGAAGAGCTACCGTCCTGTAGGTTCACTCCAACCCTGTTCCTGAAGAGCTACCGTCCTGTAGGTTCACTCCATCCCTGTTCCCGTAGAGCTACCGTCCTGTAGGTTCACTCCATCCCTGTTCCCGTAGAGCTACCGTCCTGTAGGTTTTCACACCAATCCTGTTCCTGGAGAGCTACCGTCCTGTAGGTTTTCACTACAACCCTAATCTAGTGCACCTGATTCTAATAGTTAGCTGGCTAATAAACTGAATCAGCTTAGTTAAAACTAGGGTTGGATTGAAAAGCTACAGGACGGTAGCTCTCCAGGAACATGGTAGGATTGAAAAGCTACAGTACGGTTGGTAGCTCTCCAGGAACATGGTAGGTTTGAAAAGCTACAGGACGGTTGGTAGCTCTCCAGGAACATGGTAGGATTGAAAAGCTACAGGACGGTTGGTTGTTCTCCAGGAACATGGTAGGATTGAAAAGCTACAGGACGGTAGCTCTCCAGGAACATGGTAGGGTTGAAAAGCCACAGGACGGTAGCTCTCCAGGAACATGGTAGGATTGAAAAGCTACAGGACGGTAGCTCTCCAGGAACATGGTCGGCTTGAAAAGCTACAGGACGGTAGCTCTCCAGGAACATGGTAGAATTGAAAAGCTACAGGACGGTAGCTCTCCAGGAACATGGTAGGATTGAAAAGCTACAGGACGGTAGCTCTCCAGGAACATGGTAGGTTTGAAAAGCTACAGGACGGTAGCGCTCCAGGAACATGGTAGGAGAGCCATGCACTACATTATTCTGTTTCAAAAAGCAACTAGCCTACTGTAGCTCTGGCTTTGAAGTCGTCTCTCAAAGTGCTTTACCTGAGCTTTTGATATAATGGGAATGGCTGAATGAGACTATGGTTGACATGTCTGCTTGGTTTTGAGCTGACGTTTGTCCTTGATTGGAACAAAAACAAAACGTCTTTACTAGGTGCATCAATACTAACCTTCTGCGCTCCCGTATTTTGTTGAGCACAAAGGGAATAGAACACAGTCAAAGGTCAAATCTAGAATATAATATTGTAGACTACTGTATTCATCCAAAGACAACAAGCTTCCTTCTGATAATTATCCTTCCTCTGTACTGTCAGGATTGGGTTACGATGGCATAATTAACAACATAACATTAACAACATGATGTGTTATATACTGTGATAGGAGACACTTACAAATTTGGAAATATTCGAACTTCTGGAGTCCACATTGTATCTGCAAGAAACCAAACATAGTTAGGTATAAATCACTCAAAATGACAAACTTTATCCGTGTGAATAGTCAGTGAGGTAGGGAAGAATGCCCTTCACTATCAGTTCAGGTATTGGATAAGTTTCATCCTTGTGAATTAAATGAGCAAATCTAATTATCTCTAAATGAACCTTGAATTTTACAGGGATGTTTCTGCAGGAGGGAGGAGGGATACAGGGTAGAAGGGTTGAGAATATACTCCTTGTTTACTAACATTAGTACATCCACTGACTGTTGGACTATACCACTGGCAGACTGTCTCTGGATCCTATTCACTGTGGATATGAAGCCAATCCTCCACCTCGGCTCAGGGCTGTGATGCTTGCTTAACCTTCCCCTTGGTCAAATTCAATAGCTCATTGGTTCAGAACATTTATTTTGGGAGTTTTCTGTCTGTTATGCTGGAGTAGACTGATTGATTATTTGCCATTTGTTAAAAATGAATATTGACCTTGTTAACACCTGAACCACACTGATCGTCTCTAAGAGCTTTGTCACAGTGCAGAATAACTGCACTTGATTCTTGATTGAATTTCCAGAGCATAAATAATAGCACCTGAAACAGTCGGAGCTAGAGCTCTACACAGTAATAGCTTGATAACAACCAATTTAAAGGGAATAATTCAATCTTTAGTTATTGAAAAAAATCATTTTCCCAGTTCAATCATAGAATTCTGCAGTTGTATATAATCTGACTTTTAAAAAGCAGACAGAACTGTTCATATTTTGAGTTTAGAAGAAAATTCATAATGAATAACAGAGTGCCCAAAAAACCCTACTGCATATCACTGACTACATTAAAAGGTATAATGCCACGTAACTGATCTTTATCTAGTATTGACCTGGAATAAGAGGTGGGGTGGCTGACCAGAATAACCAAGTGGATTTAGCGACAGCTACATGAAAAGGATTGTTCTTCAGAAGTATTCACACCCCTTGACTTTTTCCACATTTTGTTGTGATACAGCCTGAATTTAAAATTGATTATATTGAGATTTTGTGTCACTGGCCTACACACAATACCCCATAATGTCAAAGTGGAATTATGTTTTTCAAAATTCTTACACATTAATAAAAAATGAAAAGCTGAAATGTCTTCAGTCAATAAGTATTCAACCCCTTTGTTATGGCAAGCCTAAATAAGTTTAGGAGGTAAAAAAGTAGCATAATAAGCTGCATGTGTTTAAAATTATTTTGAATGACTACCTTGAATGGTCCCTCAGTCGAGCAGTGAATTTCAAACACAGATTCAACCACAAAGACCAGGGAGGTTTTCCAATCCCTTACAAAGAAGGGAAACTATTGATAGATGGGTAAAAATGAAATAAAAAGCAGATATTGAATGTCCCTTTGAGCATGGTGAAGTTATTAATTACACTTTGGATGGCGTATCAATACACCCAGTCACTACAAAGATACAGGCGTCCTTCCTAACTCAGTTGCCGGAGAGGAAGGACACTGCTCAGGGATTTCACCATGAAGCCAATAGTGACTTTAAAACAATTGCAGAGTTTAATGGCTGTGATAGAAAACTGAGGATGGATCAACAACATTGTAGTTACTCCACAATACTAACCTAATTGGCATAGTGAAAAGAAGGAAGCCTGTACAGAATAAAACATGCATCCTGTTTACAACATGGCACTAATGTAATACTGCAAAATATGTGGCCAAGCAATTAACTGTTATGTTTGGGGCAAATCCAAGACAACACATTACTGACTACCACACTACATATTTTCAAGCATAATGTTATGGGTATGCTTGTAATTGTTAAGGACTGGGGAGTTTTTCAGGATAAAAAAAGAAACAGAATGGAGCTAAGCACAGAGACAATCCTAGAGGAAAACCTGGTTCAGTCTGCTTTCCACCAGACACTGGGAGAAGAATTCACCTTTCAGCAGGATAATAACCTAAAACACAAAGGCCAAATATACACTGGAGTTGCTAACCAAGATTACATTATGCAGGTTTCCACTGACCCAGGTTTATTCGACAAAAGCAATGTCGCAAAAAAAATAATTGCGACGTGTGTAATGGAAACGGCAGATAGGAGACATTTTCTAAAGATCATCAAAAATAATTGTCAAACTTTATTTGCGACAAATTAGTTTCTGTGTTTCGAATAAGTGGTGATTGCCAAATACTTTTAAAGGTACGTTGGGCACGTGATGTCAGAAATCACATTGTATGATTTTTAAGTAATTAATTTGCATTTTATTGCTTGACATAAGTATTTGATCACCTACCAACCAGTAAGAATTCCAGCTCTCACAGACCTGTTAGTTTTTCGATCCCCCATGGGAATCGAACCCACAACCCTGGCGTTGCAAACGCCATGCTCATATTTTTGAGTTTTGAAGAAAATTCATAATGAAAAACAGACTGCCCAACAAACCCTACTGCATATCGGCAGTATGAAAATGTATGCAGTCACTAAACTGTAAGTCGCTCTGGATAAGAGCGTCTGCTAAATGACTAAAATGTCAATGTAAAATGTTGACTACATTAAAGGTATAATGTCACCCTAGCAGTCAATTGTCGCATCTATTTTCCATGCAAAATCTCTAAATGTCTACAAAAAAATAAAATGGACAAGTTAATGGAAACTATTGAATTGTCCTGAGTGGCCTAGTTAGTCTTGACTTGAAAATCGGCTTGAAAATATATGGCAAGACTTGAAAATGGCTGTCTAGCAATGATCAACAATCAACTTGACAGAGCTTGAAGAATTTTAAAAAGAATAATGTACAAATATTGTAAAATCCAGGTGTGGAAAGCTCTTAGAGACTTACCCAGAAAGACTCACAGCTGTAATCGGTGCCAAAGGTGATTCTAACATGTGTGAATCCTTATGTAAATTAGATATTTCTGTATTTCATTTTCCATATATTTGCCAAAAATTCTAAAAACATGTTTTCACTTTGTCATTATGGGGTATTGTGTGTAGATGGGTGATTTGTTTTATTTTTTATCCATTTTGAATTCAGGCTGTATCACAAAAAAATAAGTCAAGGGGTATGAATACTTTCTGAAGGCATGTTTGGCCAGCCCCTCATCGTGGCTCCCACACTCTTCTGAGGGGAAAGGCCTACTCTGTGATCCGAAAGACTAACAAGGGAGCAAAGAAAATGCTTGAAACAGCTACTTATAAATTGGTCCTATGTATAAAAATAAAAGTTTATATTTGGCTTTTAGCCTAGCAGTAGGTATTTCCAAGATGGCATGAGACAGAGATGTTGGTCACTTACACGTCAAAGCGGAGGTTCTGCCTCTCTTCAAAGAAGTAGTCCAGGAAAAACTTCCGCACAAAGTTTGGATTCAGTGTGTTGTCAATCACCTCTGTTCTGCCAAACTAAAACAGTAGCCAGGAAAAATAAATACAGGTGACAGAGTGATACTCCATCTAACAGAACCTCTATGGAAACATCAACTCCATGATTGACAGGTGACAGAGTGATACTCCATCTAACAGAACCTCTATGGAAACATTAACTCCATGATTGATATCAGTAGGACCCATATGATGATCAATGACACAATGTCATTCTAATTCTAAGCATATCAAAGTTTAACATCACTAGCAATATTATCCGCATACATTAACCGTAACATTGGGATCGACTCAAAAACAATGATCAGCAAAGCCGGAGTACTCTAAATGGAATGAACAGCACCGTGCCACAGCCATTACCATTACAGCCTGTGATGTGATCTACATCCTCAGTGAGTCACAATCACCACTGGGTTTAAACCAAGGGAGTGTAGTGTTCTAATGGCTGGCTCCTCAGACAGAACAGAACCAAGGGAGTGGGAGTGTCTCAGTGATTCTGAACTCGTCTCAGCCGGCCGGCCCAGGGCTGGTGCTCCATCTGTATCTATCAGACACTAATCCCCATTGGGAAAAGGGCCTGGCTGGTATGCTCCAACAGCACAGAGTAATGAGCTATTGATCCCTGCACTGCCTCAATACCCGGCTCATGACCTTAGCGCCCAGCGCACATAATCCCAGCTATCAACTCTGTTCCTCCCAATCCATTATCCGGCCTGGGAGGGGAGATATTGGAACGCCTCCTACCTGGCATCCATCGACTACGGAACCATCCGTCATCACGAGACATGTTCTTTTTTGGGGTGGCGTTCTCTGACGTACGATTGGTTAATGGGTAGTGGAGGGTTGTGGGGAATGTTAGTGTATACAATATTGTTGTTAGAAGAAAATGCTTTAAATTGCTGTGAAGTGACTGAAACTAAGAGGGCACAGCACAACACCATTTTACTTTTAGTTTACACCAACACTTAAGTGCGTATCATTTATCAACCCTTGTCTCAGTGTATGTGGTGGTGATCAGAAATAGAGAGATGTTGAGTGAGGGAATATGCTTTGGCTTGTGAGTCTTCACTCAATGAATGATGGAAATACACACCTACTCATTCCAGGTTTTTTCTTTTATTTATCTCCGCATGTGTAGTTCCTACCGTAAAGCATGGAGGAAGAGGTGTTATGGTGTGGGGATGCTTTGCTGGTGACACTGTCTGTGATTTATTTAGAATTCAAGGCACACTTAACCCGCATGGCTACCACAGCATTCAACAGCGACACACCATCCCATCTGGTTTGGGCTTAGTGGGACTGTCATTTGTTTTTCAACAGGACAATGACCCAGCACACCTCCAGGCTGTGTAAGGGCTATTTTACCAAGAAGGAGAGTGATGGAATGCTGCATCAGATGACCTGGCCTCCACAATCCCCCGACCTCAACCCAATTGAGATCGTTTGGCATGAGTCGGACAGCAGAGTGAAGGAAAAGCAGCCAACAAGTGCTCAGCATATGTGGGAACTCCTTCAAGACTGTTGGAAAAGCATTCCAGGTGAAGCTGGTTGTGAGAATGCCAAGAGTGTGCAAAGCTGTCATCAAGGCAAAGGGTGGCTATTTGAAGAATCTCAAATATAAAATATATTTTGATTTGTTTAACACATTTTTGGTTCCTACATGATTCAATGTGTTATGTCATAGTTTTGATGTCTTCACTATTATGCTACAATGTAGAAAATAGTAAAAATAAAGAAAAACCCTGGAATGAGTAGGTGTGTCCAAACGTTTGACTGGTACTGTAAGTCTGTAGGTAGTTGGTGATTGAAAGTTAACTCTACTGATTATAGAAAATATATATTTTATTGTCACATACACTGGATAGCTGCGGTGAAATGTGTTTTACAGGGTCAGCCATAGTAGTACAGCGCCCCTGGAACAAATTAGGGTTAAGTGCCTTGCTCAAGAGCACATTGATTTTTCACCTTGTCAGCTTGTATTCGAACCAGCGGTTACTGGCCCAACACTAACCGCTCGGCTACCTGCCGCCCTATAATTATTCTCTTTGATTAGCCCTGTCACTATGAAAAAGCAGAAGACTCATTTTTTAGTCAAGCAGTGTTGACTTGAATTATGAAATATATAAACAAACAAAAACCGTCAGCACCCTGTCAGAGATTAAATTGATTATGGGCTTTAGGATAAGGGTTTTCTCTCAGGAGAAATGCCAGAAGAGGACATTCGAGAGAGAGAGAGAGAGAGAGAGAGAGAGAGAGAGAGAGAGAGAGAGAGAGAGAGAGAGAGAGAGAGAGAGAGAGAGAGAGAGAGAGAGAGAGAGAGAGAGAGAGAGAGAGATAGAGAGATATAGAGATATAGAGATATAGAGATATAGAGATAGCGAGAGCTCTAGAGAACGACCGATATGGATTTTTTTTTAGGGCCGATACCGATTTTTGGGAGTCAAGGAGGCCGATGGCTGATATTTTAGGCCGATATTCAATATCATTAAATTAGAAAATTTCAATGACAGAAATTCCTAGAGACAGCCATGTATGAATATAAAACATCTATTCAATGCAAATGGGTCCACGTAACGTCATGATTTGTGATCACGGATGCTTATGAAACTAGTATTTGTTTTAATTTTCCGTGATCAGGAAAGAAAGGACGCATCCCTAAACAACTCCGCTGCCAGGACGAAATTCGAAACGACTCAAATTGGCTAGTTCAGCTATCTGTCAAGAAATGGGCAGGTTGTAACTTGATCCTACTGCTATGATTGGATAGAGCGAGGCTGTAACTCCGCTCCCTTTCACATATTCTAACATCTCTCTCCATCGCCCTTATCACTTACTGCTGTTTACTGCTACTATAAGAACTAGCTCAATGGCAATGGCGTTTGCTACCAAGCAATAAATGTGCATAATATCTAACAAGGAGAGTGAGGGTAGGAAATAAATATGAAACGACAATGCACGTTCAGTCTGAATGGTTTGAGAAGTGAGAAGGTGCACACAGACTGATCTACAGCTTTCTTGATCCATAAACATGTAAGAAGTTTCTTAAGTAGCTAAACCTATTGCCAACCTTTATTTAGGCATTTTAAAACACTTCCTTCGATCCCTATTATGACAATCATCTAATCCGACAATCAACTGTCAATTTACGTATACGACTGCGGTTGGTCAGATCAGCACACCAATAAATAGCTAATGTTACACTGCAAGTCAGATGGCTCGTTGCTGAAAATCTTGCATGTTCAAAATTATAACCAGCTAATGTTAGCTAGCTACGTTGACTATTAGCTTCTATCTGATATCTTAGCACCATGTTTATCTAGCCAGCTATCTAGCATAGTAGCTAATATAGCTAGCTAGCGAACACCAGATGAAAGGGTTAGTTATCGTAATCTTTGCTAACAGGTCACATATCTATCTGCTAGCTAGCATGCCCGGGCACGTAGACACAAGCCTTATTATTAGCGAATTAACTAAACTGATATCTGCAACAGGAGTTTGATTTTGGACACTGTGTCAATTAATCAATTTCTCAATACTGCACCTTTCTGTTTGAGAATGAGCTAGCTTGCTGCTGCTGATATTCCCAGCTAGACATTCCTCGGCATTGTGCAGTGCTCATGGCTTAGGTGGTGAGTGGCGGCTGGCATAGCAGCAGTTTTGCTATGTAGAGGGACTATCGGCTATGCCGATAGAGAAGGGCCGATAGCCGATAGACTAGAAAAGGACAATATCGGCCCGATATATCGGCTAGGCCGATTATCAGTCGTTCTCTAAAAGAGAGAGCGAGAGAGATAGAGACAGAAAGAGATAGAGAGAGGTCCCCCATCAGCCATGCTGTGGGTGTGAATATTTAATGAGCCCCTCTAGAGCTGTAGACCTCTGGGGAACTTTGGCTCATCTTGTTCACTCCTATCACTACATAAACCTATTTTATTCTGTCTTGTTCACTCTCTCACTACCTGAACCTACGTATCTTATCCTGTCTTGTTCACTCTCAGTTGAATCATCTATCTATCTCTCTCTCTATATATATATATATATATATATATATATATATATATATATATATATATATATATCTCTATATCTCTATATCTCTATATATATATATCTCTATATCTATATATATATATATATCTCTATATATCTCTATATCTCTATATCTCTCTCTCTATATATATATAGTGCATTCGGAAAGTATTCAGACTCCTTGACTTTTCCACATTTTGTTATGTTACAGCTTCATTCTAAAATGGTTTAAATAAATAAAAATCCTCATCAATCTACACACAATACCCCATAATGACAAAGTGAAAACAGGTTTTTAGACATTTTTGCAAATTTATAAAAACTAAAAAACAGAAATACCTTATTTACATAAGTATTCAGAGATTCGATATTGAGCTCAGGTGCATCCTGTTTCCATTGATCATCCTTGAGATGAATCTACAACTTGATTGGACTGATTCCACCTGTGGTAAATTAAATTGATTGTACATGATTTGGAAAGGCACACACCTGTCTATATAAGGTCCCACAGTTGACAGTGCATGTCAGAGCGAAAACCAAGCCATGAGGTTGAAGAAATTGTCCGTAGAGCTACGAGACAGGATTGTATCGAGGCACAGATCTGGGGAAGGGTACCAAAAAAATTCTGCAGCATTGAAGGTCCCCAAGAACACAGTGGCCTCCATCATTCTGATGAAACCAAGATTGACTCTTTGGCCTGAATGCCAAGCGTCACGTCTGGAGGAAACCTGGCACCATCCCTACGGTGAAGCATGGTGGTGGCAGCATCATGTTGTGGGGATGTTTTTCAGCGGCAGGGACTGGGAGACTAGTCAGGATCGAGGGAAAGATGAATGGAGCAAAGTACAGAGAGATCCTTGATGAAAACCTGCTCCAGCGCGCTCAGGGCATCAGACTGGGGCCAAGGTTCACAGAGTTTGAGAGGATCTGTAGAGAAGAATGGGATTAACTCCCCAAATACAGGTGTGCTAAGCTTGTAGCGTCATACCCAA